GGGCATTACGGGAGAATAATGCCCTACAATTCAGTGACAATTAACCAATCAGAGCGCGCGTTATATCGGCCACAAGCCAAAGCCATATAATAATATTGCATAATCTCACAAAAATGAGTAAATTATGTGCTCCAGTTGTTTGACAGTATTTGCCGGAGTTGAAAGTAATGAGGATGCATAAACCAGTCTGGAAATAAGCAGGGATTTGATTATGGTGAACTTTTCAATAGATGTAATTTAACCTTCTAGAATACCAAACAATTTATAAGTTTCTATATTTTATCTAATTTATCCAGGAAGTATTTTTTGATAAATTTTTATTTGGCCGTACGTTAGAAACAACCCTAAAGCTTCATGGGTTCACATTTGCTTTCAGAGAGATTACATATACGACAGAAGCTTCATTGCACTATTAGTTAAGATAAGATAAGATAAGAACTTTGTTAACGTGTCGAAGTCGCTAGCATACAGTGTATACTAATTGGGACACCTAACTACGATTACTTAAAATATGAAATACATGTACGTAGTTTGTTATATCATCATTTTATTATTGGCAATTATTATTTGTATTCATCACTATCACATTTTCCCTTCCTTGTATACTGAGTTAAGTGGCTCCGTGGGTTGGTGTTTATATTAAGCATCACTATAGGTTCAAGTTGTTTGTTTAAAGGGAAATAGCCGTTATATAGCCAAATCTAAGTTGAAGATTATACATTTTTTCATGTATTGAGTATTGGGGCCCATTACATATCGATTTACAAGAATACTTTATTGTTATTAATGCAAATCTATGTAATAAATTTTTGAAAATTGATCGGTGGAGCTTATTTCATGCCAACATTTTATCAAGTGAATGCCCTAAGGAGTAGCGTGATAGATATTATTTCCTTTAGTTTTGTCGTAGTCTAATCATAGAATAATTTTTAGCCTGATACTGGATGTCAACTATTACTGAGGCCATGCACCTATTTATTGTAGTATGCTTTAGTATGCTGGTGAACTCAAACCTAGCCTTTTTGTTCTCACTTATTCATGTCAACTGAGTGTCTGGTGGTAAAGTGTATTGTCATTTTCTGCCTGTCCACGTTTTGTTAAGGTAAGGTGTACACCTTCGCTTCTTTTCTGGTCGAAATTTGGGCCATTTACCGTAACGACAAGGTCAGTGAATAAATTAAGTTTTCTAAATGATATTGTATTGTGCAAAACCTTTTGAAAACGTTCACGATGAAAAAATCACCCTCATCAAAACATCACTCTAACTCGTCCTTTATAACGTTCTAGCTCACTTATGGTAAGGTATACACCTTTGTTTTTTCTCTGGTGGATATTTGGGACACTTACTGTAACAACAAGTTCTGTGAATGTATCAGCATTCTAAATGAGCTTAACTTGAATGGTATTGCAAGATGCAAAAACGTTTTTATAGCAACCTTGTTTACTTTAAATATCGGTGAATGTTCACGATAAAATGATCACTCTCATCTATGATTGAAACATCAGTCTTGAGTAACTTGTCCGTTATAATAGCCTAACTGGAACGAGTGATGAACTGGTTTTCTAATTAAATTTTCATAATTCCAGAATAAGTGTTTTGATATTGAAGATATTTCAATGTAAAACTTAATTGATATTTAAGAAATTGAAATTTTTCGTGTTTCTATTGATTTATAACGAGGAGAAGCTTGGGAGAAGGAGAAATGTTGTGGAAACACGAGCCGATTGGAGAAAGTTTGAACAGACTTAGTTCTCCCAAACTTTCACGAGCGTTCCTATAACTCGATAGAAACAAGAAGAAAGTAATTTTTGACTTGTTCTTTTTAGAAATCAGCCATAAGAAAAAAACGAACAACGTGACTGCGACAACTTTCTTTGTGTTTATCGAAATTTAGAAATACGATTTTTAAGCAGTAAACTCACTTATTTTCCTTGGGACAATTTTTAAATGGTTTTGATAATTCACTAGATAAGCTGATGAGTGCTGTATAGACTGTTATTTTTTTCTAATGCAGGCCTTTTTGGATGTGGTTGTCGTTCCCTTGGTTTCCTTGTAGTTTTCAATGACGTTTTCCTGAAAGAACAATGACAAAAAAATCACGAAAATTAACTGAGCCAAGTTAATACGCGTTCTTGATCAGTAATGTATTTAACAGAACATTGTACCAAGGTGTATCACGCCTTTTAAGTACCTGTTATCAGTTTTCTATTAAAGCAGACGCGTTTGTTTGTTTTTGAAGCACCAAGGTTACTCTACATAAGAGAAGTATGGTTGCTGTCCGTTTATGGTGATTGAAGCGGTGCTAAACTACATCGAGTTTGGCTTATAGAGCCTTTAAATGCTACAGTATGGGTATGTTGCAGAGCGGAATAATGATTTAAAGCACATTCAATGTTGCTGCTCTGTAAAATCAATCTCACCTTGACGTTTGTAGAAATGGCGTAACCAAGCAGGGCAAGCTGCAGAAAAAGGAGCAAATTATTTCAAAATAAGAAATTTGATATTTTATGTCAATGAATTAGCAAAATGGTAGATCATCTGCCGATATGTGAGCAATATTGATGAAGTCATGTCAATTATTGTTGGTAAAATGNAAAAAAAAAAACTCGCTAATAAACACGAATCACGTCCATTCCATGGGAACAAGTGGAGAAAGTGGCCCGGATATAATGTCAATTTTAATACAAACGTTGATAATTTAAAACACATACAAGCAACCGCTTTTCTACTTCATCAGTACTTTAACGGTGTCAAAATGCTTCTTGCTATTCTTTAGCCATGCCGAGAGGAAGTTGGTGTCATCCGGTGGATGTCCCAGATTCACATTCTCTTCTCCTAGAAAGTGGATTTGAGATCAATGGTCCCGAATACAACTGCTTTCCGTGTTGGACACTCCCTGTACACCTTCACCGATCTCTTTCGTGACTAGGTGTCAACAGAAGGCCTCACCTAACTGGTCAGCCTGCCACTAATTGGCATGTTCTTTAGAATGTTTGTGCCTATGTGATTGTGTTTTTTGTTTAGTTGGTGTCTTCAACTAGCACAGCAGGGCTAATACCCTGACTTTAAGTACTTTTTTATGGCCAACGGAATCCAGGATATTAAATAAAAATTTTGCAATTATACGCAACATGGCGCCAAAAGAACAAGTTATTGCTTCTTAGTAATTATTTTTTTTTGACGAAATCAGCGACTATAAAGACCAAGTAACTTAACACTAAGTAAGACTTATTTAAGTCGAGGTAAGACCAAGACCAAGATTCGGTTTAGCAGGGAAGAGCTTAAAGTTCGCTAGGGCTTTGTGTTCCGTCTTGCGAAACCACGCGTTCTGCAGGCTACGACTCAGTTTCTTCCAATTTCAGCAGTACTCCAAGAGTTAAAGGTTTATCTTTCAATGCCTTTAAGAGCTACTTGACCAAACTTACCTTTTCCCTCAATCCTTCCCAAACTTGGCACCAGGCTTTTCACGTCTTTTCCGGAATCCAGTCCATTCACCAATGCTCTCTTGAAAGCCGGGACGAAAAGTCGCCGATTTGAGCACATAATGCGTAACATGTGATGCTTCTTGTTCGATGGGCATTTGCTGCAAGGGTTTGCGCTGCTGTCCACCCTGCGTGTTGTAGAGGTGACAAAGATCAATTTTATATGATTCTATAGTCCACACAATTGTTGCTATGTCTCTTCGACTCTCTTAAACAGATCCAGCATTTTAAAATGAATAAGCTACTACGCGCGTTCTCATTCGTTGATAGGTATGTTTAGATGAGAGTGTGTAAACACAGCGGTGACGTTTTAGGTTCGCGCGTATTCTTGAGAAAAATGTTTTGTAAAAGCAATAAAGGACTTTTTCTGTCTTTACAGAGCCTCATCTTAACACTTGGGGGGTTGGGGGAATTCTCAAAAGTTATGTAAACCCTCGACTGCATCTCGGGTTGGCATAACTGTCTCGAATTCTTCGAATCCCCCTCTTGTTTAGATGAGGCTATGTTAACATGGAAAGAGTGCTCTATTGCTTAAATATATGCGGTAAAATAACAAACTGATCGAATCGTCTTTGAGATCCATAGCAGACGGAATTCATTCAAATAGCTCCGCGCGCAAATGAAACTGTCCTAAAACACCTGGCATGCCGCGTGAACTGTCCAGTTAAATTAATGATCTCATGTGGGGTCATAGATAACCAATCGGATAACAGAATTCTGCTATAATTATGAATACCGTGTAGAAAAAGAAAAATAACTTACAAAAGTCCGTAGTGGTTAAAAAGGTCTTTGCCCCAGGAACACCATTGTCTCCATTCATTGCACTGTCTCTGTCTTTCTTGCTTTTCTCTAACTGACTGCCTTATTGCGTCGCTTATGACGGCAATTAGACCAATCCCAATAACAAGCAAAGCTCCTATGCCAGTTGCTGCTGCCGCAGCACCGGTAACACCAACGAAGGTGACAATTCCTGAAAATGAGTAATAAGAACACATAGTTTTATTAAACATTAACAATCCCCTTCGGTTGTTTATATATAACTGCAATTCATGAAGATCCCAAACAATGGAATGCCAAACTGGTTTGGATTTCCCATTTAGGTTCCATTTAGTACACAAGCAAATCAAGATAAACTGTCCAAAAGAATTCTTTCAGAAGAACCTTCTCGATGAAGTTAAAAACAATTGCACAAAAGTTGCTGTAACTCCGTCGCTTTATCATATAAAATATGTACTGTCACTAATGTACTCACTCTGTTGTTATCGCTACCCACCTAGTGCTGCTCCAATTCCAGTAGAAGCCGCAAAAGCGAAGTCGTCTGCTATTTTCCAAGGATCCACGTTATCTGCGGTAAAATCTTTATACAGGTCATAAATGCTTTTATTATATGGCTGCGTCTCACAAAGACTGGGAACTACCGAATTCACGAATATGATTGGCTGAAATCGATATTGACCGCGGTCTAGATTTTCCCATCTAGACCGGCATCTAGCTAAACCGGTTTCATTTTGCGTTGACAAAGTAGCAAACTAAAATACAAAAATGTTCACCATTTTCTTTTCTTTTCTTCTCAATCATTTATGGCACTGCCAAAAAGCCTGATGACAAAACAAACAAGTAAAGAGAACGAGCAAATTTCGGCAGGTTTAAGTTAAGCTCA